ATAATTATCCAATGAACTATAAGTATTAATTTCTTTTACAATGGTTCGTTCTCTCTAAAGGATTTCATGTTTCAATGGAGAGGCCGGCTGCATGCAGAGATATTCTACATTTGAAACTCAAGGTCTTGCTTAGAATCACATTGTCCACATGTCAAGCATCATTAGTTCTTTATTCATAAAACGAAACTCCCTATACTCCGGTAAAAAATGAATGTGTATATGATTGTTATTTCAAGTGTTTGGTTGCTTTTTCAAGTTTTTATAATAACATTATTTTACAAGTAACATACATAACGTAAAATGAGAGTAATGACCTAGCTGTCGTTCTTTCTCAAAAGCTGTGAAGATGTAAAGTTATGCTTCGTTTTAATTGCGAGGAAATGTGATTTTCTTTCATGAAGCAACATTGCCTGTGGACTTTGGTTAGTCAGTAATAGCAGCTCAATCTTCCTCGACAATCGGGACATTCTAGTGAAATATGAGGCAGAAATAATCACTAATCAGCGTCAAAAGAAATAAAGAATGATCTTTTAGCGAAGATATAAATCACAAGTGACCATTTCAATGTAGTCAATCACCCTGGTTGTCAACTGCCTTCAAAGAAGCACGCGAGTTAACTAGGGTTGTGAAAAAGTTTTCGTGTACGGAAGGTGCTTAACGAAAATGCAACTTATCACCAAAGACGAAGTGTCAAAGACCACCAATAAGAATAAATACCGCAATGACAGCTCATTTCTCACGCAAATGCGATTTTAAATTACAGTCTGCATTTAAGTCGGTTCATTTCGGGCTGCCCGTTTGTCAGAAGAAGACGAGTGCCGGAAAAGTTTGAGATCTAAGGTAAGATGACTGTATTTCCGATAAGTGCAAAACAGACCGCCGTTTATGTAGTTAAATTTTATATAGTTAAACTTCCGATGTTTGCAATCTCAAGAATCATAACAGAGCTTTACTAAAGGTATGCTTTATGCTGCTCATACAAAGTACATGCATTTCAACAGAAAGCGTTTGTTATGTAATGCATAGTTGTGTTAGTTTGCTGCAGTCAACTTTCGAGTGCGCGCTTTGGGAGAAACAATTCGAATTTAACCTAAATACATTAAGAGCTATTAAGGCTGCTTCCTGAATTTCGAGAAAACAGAGGACTGCAAAATGTCCACTTCTCAATATAAATTTCTGTACGCTAGTTAAACAATTCTCAAAAGGAAACCACAGTATAAACAATAATTTGGACACTTTACTCTGAAAGACTAAAGCGCACGTAAACCAAAACAGATTGAGTTAAATTGATAAAGGTGTGTTGAGTTATAATAGGCGCTGTTCAGGAATTTTTTCATCTTGCCTCAAAAATTTTGCTAGCTCAAAAATGTTCTTATGAAATTAAATAGAACTGTGATAAGGTGATAGAATAGATTTACACCTTCAACACATTTGAAGTTCTTGCGAAAGTAATGGCCGTTGTTGCAGTCAAACTTAAACAATATTAAATGAGTAAATAAAAACGAAAAACTTACCATCAAAACAGACCCACAATACCAATGTCTGTATGTGCGAATCATGAGATCCAAAAAACCCGAACATTTAGTATGTGATAATAAGAGTTGTATTGATAAAATATTTATCGCATGAAATATAAAAATTAGTGTCACTTTTTGTATCCTAGTTTCGATTTAACACTGAAGAATTTCTTGCTTTTAACGAGGAAGGTGCGCAGTCAACAATATCGCGAAACTCACGGTCTTGCTCTGGCGCTATTGAGAAGAAAAATTCTTAGTTCACAAAAGTCGACCTAATAATCTACCCCTNGAAGTTCTTGCGAAAGTAATGGCCGTTGTTGCAGTCAAACTTAAACAATATTAAATGAGTAAATAAAAACGAAAAACTTACCATCAAAACAGACCCACAATACCAATGTCTGTATGTGCGCATCATGAAATCCAAAAAAACCGAACATTTAGTATGTGATAATAAGAGTTGTATTGATAAAATATTTATCGTATGAAATATAAAAATTAGTGTCACTTTTTGTAGCCTAGTTTCGATTTAACACTGAAGAATTTCTTGCTTTTAACGAGGAAGGCGCGCAGTCAACAATATCGCGAAACTCGCGGTCTTGCTCTGGCGCTATTGAGAAGAAAAATTCTTAGTTCACAAAAGTCGACCTAATAACTGAATCTACCCCTCAACAGAAATTTCTTTACGCCAAGTTGCATTTACTAAGCACGCATCATAAAAAACGAAAGGCAGATAAACACAAGAGCATCGACAAAATAATTATCCATTAAACTACAAAAATTAACGCTGCCCTTCTTTTCTTAATTCCTTTTACAATGGTTCAATCTCTCTGAAGAGTTTCACGATTTAATGGAGAGGCTGGGGTAAACAGGAGGGTCGTTATGGTTGTTATTTTCAGCCTTTGGTTGTTTTTTAAAGTTTTCATAAGCGTTCTACAATGAACATTATATAGCGTAACATGAAAGTAAAGGGCTGTCGTTCTTTCTCAAAGCTGCGAAGTATAAAGTTATGCTTCGTTTTAATTGCGACTAAAATGTGATTTTGTTTTATGAAGCATCATTGCTCATGGGCATGCGTCTTTAATTAGTCAGTACTAGCAGTTCAATCTTTCTCGACAATCAAGACATTCTGGTGAAATATGAGACCGATAATTACTAATCAGCGTCAAAAGAAATAAAGAATGATCTTTTAATTAGTCAAGACATAAATCAGAAGTGACAATTTCAATACAATCAATCAGAGACCTGACATACAAGTTCTGATCTTGTGAAAGCACTCGCCGTTGCCGTGGATGTGAAAGAGTTTTCTTACATTCCGCCGCGAGCTAAAGGAAATCAATTTCACTGCAGTTAATCACCATAGTTGAAATGTCAAAGACCACCAATAAGAATAAAATACCGCAATGACAGCCCATATCTCAAGCACATTAGGATTTTAAATCACAGTGTGTATTTAAGTCGTTCATTTCGGGCTGTACGTTTGTCAGAAGAAGACGAGTGCCTGAAAAGTTTGAGATCTAAGGTAAGATCACTGTATTCCTGATAAGTACTAAACAGACCACCGTCTATATAGTTACATTTTATGTAGTTAAAAAACTTTCAATTTTTTGAAAATAAGAATTATACCAGAACTTTCCCAAAGGTATGCTGCTCACACAAGCTACGCGCATTTCAATAGAAAGCGCTTATTATACAACAAGTATATGGTGTTTTGCTGTCAACGTTCGAGAGCAAACTTTGGAAAAATGCATTCTAAACTTGCTACCTTGGTCAGAGAAAGTTTTATTTATTGTAATATATTTATTGTTAAAAAATAAGTTAATCGAACCAATGGAAAGTATTTTGAAGTTGGAGAAGAGCACAGATGGTTGAAATCAACTGGCAATTTTGCAGAGCTGTTCATCCACCGATAACAAGTGTGTCAATAGACTGTTTTCGATATATCAAAATTCAGTTTGGCGGTGAGGCTTAGAGGACACAAACAAAGGGAATTGAACGACATGTTTATTCATTTCTTTTGTTTGTGTCCTCTAGGCCTCACTATCAAGCTGAATTTTAATATATCGACAGTGACCTGTTAGCTCATATTTGGTTCTTTTGTATGAAACAGGACATGAGGAGCATTTTCATATGGGGCTGCCTCCTGGCTGCAGTTATCGGACCATGCATGGCGGACATGTACTTGCATTTTCCACCGGGATCTAATAACCGTTTAAACGGTGCCGACGTAAATGTCCATAACCGAAATAGATTGTTTAATTCGCAGGTAATATGCAATAATATCACAGTTTCTATTAATGTTTTGCTTTAGGCACACCGTACCAAATTTTTGGCAAGGCTAAGAGAGTCTCGAAGTACCTACCAATTTAGTTTCTTTTTCTTTCTATAAATGATGTCGGAACGTCTTAGAAACTGAATATTTCGAACTCGCATTTGAAGTCTCGGTCCCACAATTGAAGAAGTCAAAATGTCTCGCCCTTGCAAGGAAAAACGTTAGTCTCGCCTTTTCGCAGTCTCGCGTTTACTCCACTCACCACCCCTACAACGGGACTGCTATTTGGTCTGTTACTCTCGAAATTTGCTAACAGCCATTCCAACCATTCCAAATTCAAACTCTAAACTGTTTATCGACATCAGTTAGTTGGTAAGTACATCATTCTTTACTTGATTTAGAACAATGACAAGTGTGGGTACAATGTTGGAGACAACGCAGACACAGACCCAGGAGCAACAGCTATACCAGAGTACAGACAACTACCAATGGTAAATAACAAGTAGTGACAGAATGTTTTCATTTTTACTTAATTCTTGGGCTGGCTCTTACCACATTTAATCTGTCATTCATTTTTTCGTTCATTTGTTTGTTAATTCGTTCTTTTGATAATTCATTAGCTAGCTCGTTTGTTCAATTGTTTGTTCGTTCTTCGCTCGTTCGCTTGTTCTTTGTTCGTCCGGTCGTTCACCCATTCAGTCAGTCCGTTGACTGGTTTGCGGGTCATTGATTGGTTATTTAATGTCAATTAATTGATTTATCGGTAGTTCGATCCGGGGGAGGTTACTCCCTTGTGCAAGCTACGTAGGTATAAGCGGCACCAGAAGGTATGATTTTGAAGCCGTTTCGGCCAAAATTGGGTATAGATTTTAACCATTTTGGTCTGATATAGGGCATGGTT